TATAGTATTTTTTCCACAATGGTGCATAACACAAATTATTCCGACTTATTGTTCTAAGGATTGCTGTTTCTGTTAGCAGCTGCAGCCTTTAGCAAAAAATATGAGCGAAAATTTTCACTATGCGTACATATAATTTCCACGGTCCTAAAAAATCCAAGGGTGCAATCCAAGAGCTAACAGTTCGACAAACGAGACAGACAACATTAAAATCGAGCGAGAACTTGACGAACAAATGTCCTCAAAAGTGAGTTATTTTGGCCATCTTTTGTACAAACTAAACAACTTGGAGCATTGTAAACTAGAAGGTTTAGGTCGTCAGAAAGTTTATGAACTGTTGTTGTTGCTCCGCTTAAAAACGCACAGATAAAATTTTCTAAAATCAAAACAACTTTCTGGCTGATACTTGAAGATCTTTCCGAAGATGACCAGAACGGGAACTCAATTTTGTGAATCTATGATAAGGCTAATTTGTGAAGAGACTTTCTTTATTTAATGTGTAGTGTTATTAACAAAACTGTCGTTAATGGAATAACCAGACTCGCACTTAATTAAATGAAGCCATATCCAGTAACATGCAAACCATAAGTCTAGGCTATGTTTTTAATGCAAACTTACGATGTGGGAAACCAGACAGATCGTTAAGCATTTCTTTTAAACCGACGACAATTTCAAACAGCACAGTGTCCCTTAGTGATAAGGTCTAGGTAGACAATGGTTGGATGCTCAACAGGCTAATTAATGGGTTGGAAGACGACGCGTTGCTGAGTGGGCGATAACATCCCCTGACCTAATGCTACTTGATTTATTCCTGTAGGAACCCCTAAAGAATACTAACTTCACAAAAAACTTCTTTGCTAATGTTTTCGAAACAGACAATAGCGCCAGTTCATATGCATTAGATAAGCCCCAAAAGTGCGACAACTTGAATAGTAAAAACTAAATAGGATCATAAAAAAATTAACGACTCAATCTACAGCCGTTGAAATGCGGTTTTTCCCGAAAACAATGTAATGGTTGTCACCTCTACAAGGCTGGAAATGACCAGACTGGCAAAGCTGTAGCCAAGCTGTAGGAGTCAATTGTCAATTTTCATTACACCAAAGTTTCGTTAGCTGATTGCTCGGCCATAAATGCGAGAAGTTAGGATCAGAAAGACGTTTTTGGCTGTGCCACAATCAAGCACTTCCACCACCTATTTCGGCTCTATTAGTTCTCGGCAGCTGATTAATTGAACCCACCATCAAGGAATCCGTCACTGTGCGAAATACATTATTACGCTTAAATATCGGAGAGCCTATTAGAAATAATCTACAATTTTCGGTTCAATGATAAAGACAGTTTACCAGTAGCTCACGCACGTCGAAAGTGATGCATCAATTATTTGATGCGGCAAGTTCAGCAAAACAATATATTTGCACTGTATAATGACAGCATTCGCAAAATAATGCTGGATGCTTAATAAAAGGGCAAAGGTATATACGTGAAGAAATGGAAATGTCATCATAACCTTCTGCTTAGATAGACAGGCAAAGCGCGAAGACGTGAGGTCGCGTTCAGTGCCCTTTGATCAGACTATCGCTCGGAAACCTCACAGCTCAGTCCTAATAATTGATTTTCGGAGACAAACGTGTTCCATTTAAAAATTAATGTTCCACCAACTACACATTCATGCCATTACTGATCATATAATTTATTATCAGGTCACTTTGATTGACTTAGTTTTACATTCAAACGAATATACTGTATTATTTTATGGAGCAGACATATTATCAAAAAAATAATCAGGGGGAAAGAAATAATTGCCTGAATTATTTCTAAACCAGTGAACGTATTTTGAAAAGGCAGAAAATGGATCTTTCAACCCTAATCTCACGTTTAAGAAATGTAACGAAATTTACTTGTAAATTGAAAATTATGCCTGCAACAGGAGGATCACGATGAGAAAAAACAGCCACAAGATTATTTTTCTAATATTCAAATTCAACGTAAACATGCTGATTTTTACGTAACTGTGCTAAAAGGCGATAAAACAGAAATACACAACACACCTTTGCTAGTAAGAATAACGGTAACGTAAATCCGAAGGAGGTCTTGACGAGTTTGAAGAATTAGAGGACGCATCTTGACAGAAAATAAGCAATTATAAGTTGAAAGCGAGACATCTAAAAACTCGGATAGCGTCAATGTATTTTAATCGACTAACTAATACGCCTTCTTCTGAAGGCAAGATCAAAAAGAAGGTTATCTCGGGGAACATTAGTAGGACCTCAGTAGAGACAAAAGGTTATCAGTTAGGAAATATTTACTATATTCGTAATATATAAAATTATCTTAAACCCCCAAGCATCACGGAGACCGTTAGAAAGCTACAAACACACACCCACGAACACGAACAAAATTAACAACAGAAAAAATAGACCAAAGCACAGGGATACGACAGGTCTCCCCAACCAACAACTTAGAGATAATAGAGAGATAATAGAGAGTTTTGAGGCTCCTTAAAATTACGATGGACTTAAACGCTAAACGTTATCATGCGCAGTGTTAAAAAAATAAGGTGTTCAGGCAAATAACGTTAAGTGTGTTTTTTAGTCTTTGATACCGCGTTTGTTGCATTCTTAATAAAATAAACCTCACTCTATTGTTTTCTTATCCCGTTTTGTTCGGCAGAGTTTCAAAGCTAGTTTAAGTTTGTATTGTTATTAAACAAAAAGTGGCTAAGATGGACACTGAAGACGGACAATGGCAATGGCTCTTACAGGCATTTAAGAAAGAGGCTTAAAAAGTTAACATCAACCACCAAACCAAAAAGCATTGTGATCGCCAGGGAACCATGCAGATGCAAACTGGAACTGAACAACAAAGCAATAGAGCAGGTTTTTCAATTCAACTATCTGGGAATACCAATATCACTATGTGGTGAACTCAAGAATGGAACCAGGTGAACAAAGCAGCCAGGATAGCAAGAGCCTTACGGATAACCATATGAAAAATACATGCATATAGCAATCCCGACCAAAGTTAGAATATGTAAAGCATGGCATAAGCACGAGCGGACACAGCGGAGACAAAAAGAATGATCACAGGAAACACACTATGGGATCAAAGAAGGAGGGAAGAAGTGGGAAATAGGGAAGAATGCAAGACAAAGGAGGTGAATAGATGGACACGCGCTTAGAGACGCTTCTGGAACGAGCACAAATCCAGGATAGAGAACCATTTTGCTGTAATTTTTTTTATTATATTAGTATCAATATCATTACTATTATTTTATACTAAAGGAAAATGATTTTAGTTAATAGCTACTTCTGATAAATAAGCGTTTAACTACTTTTAATGGGCAACAAATTAGGCCTGGGTAACTTAGCGAATTTTACGGAGCTGGCGCAGTGCTGCTCAAATGGCTTAGTGTGCCAACTCAACGTACTGGCACATTAACTCAGTTCCGTTGCTGAGAAAACGATACTTGAATCCACTTTAATGAATTAGATATAACTCATCAACTCCGATAGCGGCAACAGCTGAAATGCGCATTTCAACAGAGTGTTACCCAGACCTACAACAAATCTTCAATTGATTAAGTTTAAACATCGTTCTTAAAAAATGGCTTTCTTTCAGATTTAAACAACTATGAGCCACTTAAAAGAATTACTTTTAATTCTCTTGGTCATCGCCCTGCGAAACTGTGAAGCTAACCCCACTGCAGATCAAACTGGAGAAGATGGCTCCACTAACTTGCTTGGAAAATCACCGTCTCCGCTAGACGAATGCGACTCGGAAATGATTGGGTAAGTTCGGTTTTTACCAAAAAAGAAAAGTTTAGACAATATTCGCAGTAGCAGAAGATTATCAACTAGAGCAAGTCCATAGATAAACATATGGTACATAAAACCTTTTATCAGACTATAAAGGCTTTCACGGCCGGTCAAATCGCATTTAGAAATGTTTTCCGGGATTTGAAGCCGTGGTCCATGAGAATTTCTTCCTGGTGTTTCGCCCACAACTGCCGTGGACATTATCAAAGGCGATGAGGCAGTGGGCGAAGTGATCTTCCGTGCTTACCGACTACTGGACTGGTTCAACTACTGGATCCCCTGTCGTGTTTATGCGGCGCGGCCGTGTGAGCTCATGCGTGAGGCGTGGTCCACCGCAGTTGTGGACGAAACCTCAGGCAGAAATTCCCATGGACCACTACTCTAAAGCCCAGAAAACATTTCTAAATGTGATAAAACTTTTTGTTTTGAACTTCTTTATATTTCTGAAAGTAAACGTTGCGTCTATTTGTTATTGAAATTTGATAATTGAAACATTTATTGAGTGGGTTTGATTAAAATCTGACAAAATGCATTAAACGTAATCCGAAAATTTGACGAAAATTGAAAAACAATAAAATGTATGAAAGATAATCGAAAGACGCTTGCATTAGATAACGATTGTCGCTRWTTGTGTAAGACGCAAAACAGAACAGATGAAATTAATTTACCGGACACCAGTTCAAAGGTTATTACTYCTGCTTGGAATTCCMAAAATTGGGAAATTGCTWAAGCCGTTATMGTTTTTGGAATTTTTCCATAAAAGGAAATAGCAAAGGTTTAGATTTTGGACTGTGTAGGACCAGCTGTCGGTTCRCTCGGTCTTATGCTACRGTCCAATAAATATAAGTTCACTGACCGTCAAAAGTCGCCCACTTGAACAGCTAGTGAAAATACTCRTAAATAGTATATGRGMAAAAAGAACATATTTTCATGATACACAAGCCCAACAKAATCGAGAAATGAACTGGGATCTTACGCACGACATRGAATTATTTACTCATTTCAAACGTGCGAACGAAGAGTTTTGTTTGCTTCACGCTCCCACATGGTTACCAAAAACTAATCAGAGATKATCATCTAATCTAATCATTTGCGCACTGTGCAATTACCGCTGTAATTTTTCGATAATTGCACACTTCAAACGGACAGATTATCATATGAAGGAAATATTTAATATTAAKCACACTTGCTTACGTACATTTTYTTTCSTASCAAAGCTSCATAATAACTGTTTGTATTACAAAACGGATAAAAGTACAWCTTTTGGGAGCAGRTKAAGAGGGCAAAGTTYACAATGTGTCTCMAAAAAATATGAMWAAACSTTATGGACACGGAGCAGGGGCGTGTAGAAGAYCTCWAAAYMATYTATCGACCTCCAATTTATGAGCTTTTTTATCTTTTTTYGAGTTATTTATTTTACCATAGTAAGCTGTGCTAGAGRTGTGATAARCGGTTATTTTTCTGTAACGGGTTACAACGTTCCAGCGTCAMCTTGGTAATAKGTTTCAAAATGCGGTTCCAAAAGGAACATGTTACCTTTTAAATTTATCTTTAAAAATGCAGAATGATGAGGATAGTAGAAATAGTGATGATATATAATGATTTGCATTAWTGAAAACATAATTGTTAACATTGGTAAACTTAAAATAAAATATTCTAAAATCAAAAGCAAAACATGGGTCAGAAGTAACTACTKAACGAACAAAAAAACTGATAATAAACTAGAGTGATATGAATGAATAAAATATACGGTTTTATGCGAAAATGTTTAAACATCTTATTTTTATTTAAAAATGAGTTAACATTTAAGAATAAAACATTTTGCAGGCGCTTTTTACTGTTTTTAGTTCTTCACCAAAGGAAATAATGGACTCTCTAGCACTAAAAAACCACCAAGTATATCAAATGGTTTAAGCATCACGGCGTTAATACCTTCTTTCTGTTAGATTCAGCTCACACAGATTAATTGGGAAACAAAGGATTACCTGGATTTATTTTCGAATCTGMCTGATGGWCTGTTTGTGTGTGCATACTTATGTTTCTATAATAATRTAACATTAAATAACTGTAGACATCGACAGACAGATTTATCAATTTACGGTTTTATAAAATTTCTTCTGACGAGCAGTATCCCATAATGGACAATTATGATTGAAAGCAATATGCTCATCATTGACTAACTGTTGTTGCAACGAAAGTCATTACGTATAAACTTTTAATAATTTCAGATTCGAATTAATCACAGGCTACGTGTTCTCTTCGCCCAACAACGTCATAGACTCCATTCCAGGAACTTTGATGCTAACTGACTGCCTGGAAACATGTCAAGGCAACGAAAGTTGCCAGTCTGTGAATTATGAAACAGGACTTTGCGTTCTCTTCGAGTCCAATGCTGATCTTCTTCCCGGTAAGTTGCGTCTCGTGCCAAATCAAATTGTTTTCTGTTGAAAGAGCATTCTTTACGATGAGCTATAGGTCCTGAAGCATTAATTATATCAAAAACCACATAGAAGCGTGTTGATGGGGGCAACACGTAAAAACCGGTACGAATCGTACGGTGTTGAATTCTCTATTAAAGGAAATATAATTATAATATCTATTATACAATATGTTATCTACTTTTTTTATAAATTTTCATTGACACTATCTTGTAGAGCTCAAAAARGTGCYATAAGAAAGTATTTTTGYTMTTCGATATGATTTSAAATAAACTAAAAATGAAAAMGAAAACGAAGGTCCGAAAACCGATATAATATRTAGATATTTAGTATAGAATATACAGAATATCCYACCGGGAACCGCCGCGATCGATATCTGACAAACTGTAATTAGGAGAAATTTGTAAWTTGGACAGTGTGCCAAGTGATTYTTTCCAGTATTAAAAATAAGGGTGCGCTTGTTTAAAGTTGTCTATTCCAACAGTGTTTAGTTTTCGAAATATTGCCAATTTAATGTTTTCATATGRCTACTTTGCAGYGCCTTCTTTTAAATCCTGTTYCTTTTAGTTGCCATGACAAAATGGCCATTTTTAATACAACCAAATGCCAAASGAATGCTGACAGCTGTCAGTTACCTTTTCAAAATAATTAATAAWCATGCCAGGCCGGMTTCAATTACAGGAACGAAGATTATTTAAACTTATTTATTATTTATAAAGAATGTGATAAAGCTGTATCAAGAACATGTGACAGAAGTCTCGGGAGTCGGTCCTGGCCCACCCATCTGAGTTGTCCAGTCCTTATATAATCTACAATGGCACGAATTTGTTGCTGTCAACCCGGTTGCTAAGTTCCATATACTATCTAAGTTTTTTGCGTCTTTGCATTGCGTTATATAAAAATAATGAAATCCCTATTACTATAGCTTTCATTATTTCAGCATTTATGTTGGTATGTTGTAAAGCTTTTCATAATTTTACTACAATGTTGCGGTCAATGGCTTTTTTTGAGGTTCAGAAATATCAAACGCACTTCATGGTTGTACGCGGCTTCTTTTCCACAATTTAAAGCAGCGTAAATAGGTGGTCACTGGTGGATCTGCCCGCCATAAATTCGGCTTCTTTTTCTGCTTCTATTGCACTGTACTCATCTTCTGTCTTGTTTTTGAGTATTCTGCTTATGGTGTTGGTTACTGATATTCCTCTATAGTTATCGCATTTATCTGGATGCCCTTTTTCATGGATTACCTATATATATGATAGCTTCCATTCTTTTGGTACTTTTGACTTGTTTTTGTCTCATATTTAATTAGTTTTCCCTGGTGTCAGCGCGTTGACAAATTTTTTAACATCTGATACCGTTATTATTACTGGGGATCCTTGAATGCTTATATTTATGTTAGTGTCATCAGTAATTTGGAACTCATTTCTATATCCTGTCAGCATTTTCTCGAAATTCTGATCCCATGACTGCTCTGTTATTGGGGAGATGATGTCTTTTGCCCGTCTCAGTCTCATGTTTCATAGTATTCTCCAGCTTGCTCCTAGCTATGGGCTAAGTATAGAGCATGTTCTCTCCCATTTTTTGTTCTTTTTTTGTAGAGATCTTATATAGATATAATGTTTCGTACTCTTGCTTGTCCCTGTTTATATGCGAGTTTGTCATTTAGGTATCTGGAGCTTAACATGGTGTTGAATCGTTTTCGTTTGATCTCTATTTCAKATTCTACCTGCTCATCCGACCAGTATGGTTTTTGACGATTCTCTTCTCTTTCTTCGCAACCTAGTGCCTCWTWTGCTGCTGCAATTATGCATGATTTTATGCTTCCTCTAACGAGTTATTTGGTACTAGTTATTTGGTACTTTCCTGTTCCAAACTATGAATATTGTATCATTCTTCCRTCACTTTTCTTTTTTAGACATTTTCCTGTTTCTTCTCCTRCTGGTACCCTGTTCTAATAGAAAATACTAATTGTGCCTTAAGCAGGTGATGGCCACTACCACATGAGGCACCTATTTAATCTTTTTCCTAATTTTAATTTCTTTTCTCTTGCCTMGCTCCCTTTTTTGTTTCGTGTCYATCTCTGTGCTGGAARTATCCGTTTAGAACTTTAAGCAGATTTTCTTCGCATGTTTGCCTTAATATCCACGTCCTYTCCAAAAGCTCCATTCATCGCATTAACTTTATCATTTCTAAATGTCTTAAAAATTAAAAGAAGTACTTGTTTTTTGGAAACGCCATGWATAGRGCCCTATGATTGCGCAATTTTTTCCTAATTTAACCGAGTTCGTATCTCTCACGGCTTCGGAGATCCCCATGCAATAAATAATCGTTATCTTGGACACCCTATATAGCAATTTCTCAGATCAGATCAGATAGTGTAATCAAATAATGGAAAAATAACTCAATGCAACCCGAGATAAAATAGTCGATCAAAGCATTATAACCTTTGAAAAAAAACGCGGCACATAGCAGTTTGCGGTTAGACATAGATTTCTTTTTCAATTACTCCTAGACAATTTTGCAAATAACTCAAGACGGAACTTGAAAATTGAATTTACCTGTGGCCGCAATCGTTTGAAGTATTGATGCCGTTCGAAGTCGTGGTAAGAAAAGGTATATTTTCGAACTGTTATTTTGGAATCCGGTGTGTCTTATTAATTGATGAAATGCCTGGCAGAAAACACATTATTATTGCTCATAATTATTGTTTATGTGAAAAGGTACCTACTACTGATTTATGACTCAAAATTATACGAATAAATAAGTTTACTTCGTACACTAATACCAGAAAACCATCTAAAGATACCGTAATGTATA